CAAAAAATGGCACGGCTATTGGGGGTGGAAATGATGCAGGAGAGGAAGCAAACCAGCTCGACAATCCCATTGGTTTGTCTTTTGATCGACGTGGCAATCTCTATGTCGCCGACAGTATGAATGCTCGAGTTCAACGATATTCTATTGAATATACTCATTACGATGGCTAATATTATTCTTTTGATCTAATAACTAATGATTAACAAAACAGAATGTTTATTCAAAGAAAAACAAGCTGAATATCTGTTCTGCACTCAGCAACAAAAATCTAAGCGAATTTATTTTTTCCAATTTTTCGTACATTTGTTTTTTCAAATTTTCTTTCCTGTTTTGAAAGAGTACTGACCTGCTTGAAATAGGGATAAAGGATGAAAAATAAGTTTTGACCTCCTCTTGCAATATTCGTTTTTCGCATACTTCTACGTCGGCCGAGACTGATATTTGTGGTACACGCACTAGGGTGTGGATGTTCCTCCACAATCACATCCCACCCTAGTTTAGCTTCACCTACATGTGTTATCAGATTCAAGCGCTAATTTGACATATTTAGATGATCAATGTATAGTTGAGGAAGCCCTCAACTGTACATTCAATATACATCAAATCTTCTATCAGAGTACTTGGCAACTAAAGTTCTTTCATCCTATATATGGTTGTGCAGAATTCAGTGTGACAAGATCCTATGGGTCAAGTCGGATTTTTATGCACGCCTATCCTTTCAATGTCTCAGTAATAGTTACTATAATCATTATTCTGAAATTATTGCAAGTGTATTTCTTGCTCGAAAAGCGTTTCAAAATCATTCGTATGTATTGCTTTTATATCTCATATCAAGTGCTATTAGTTTCTTTGTTATACTTGATATACTTCAGAGTATTTTTCATATTGATTGCACTCGTAATGAGATTGCACGAATACGATGTTAAGGAAAATTCAAAAACAGAGAGACAATATCGATGTTGTAGAACATTTTGAATTTCAGGATCATAGAAAACATCAATATGTATTCTTGGACAAATTACTATTTAAAAAGTTTCACTTCTATTTATAAAACACGAAAAAGTACTTTTCATCTTGTAAATATGATTGTGTAGATTGTATAAATAAAAACAACTTATTCTTTGTTTATGCACCATGAATATTCGTATTAGCTCTCTCTTTTTTACACGTTGAAGTTGGACGCGTCGCCGTTCCTCCTCCTCTGCTGACACACGTACGTCGTATGTCCGCTCGTGTTTTTTCATAAAAATTATAGAACCTACTACATAAATAAATTAGAAATTAATGTTTACATATTAAAACACATTCGTATCAACAATCACCAAGTTCCATGAATAATTATAATTATTATGCAAATATGAACAAAGATGCGAAAGATCGGTTATGTAATCATAGCAACTTGCAACAGGCATATGAACAGGTTAAGTTTTCCAATAACGTGAACAACAACAACAATAGAAAGTCTTCTTTAAAAAGAAGTGAAAGCAAAATGGATGAAAATCAACCCGAATCTGATTATAATCCTGAAGCAGAAAGTGAAATCGATGATGCTCAGTGGCGTTATCAAAGTCGATCAAACAAAAAAAGAATCAAGGCACCGCGAATTGATTCCTTTGTTCATGGTAGAACGATTATATCATCTGTACGTAGCAATGGTAGAACGGATAAAAATATAACACGCCCTCCATCACCACTACAAGCAGAACGAAAGAATGATAAAAAGAACGATAACCATCAGCTGTCAAACGTCGATGATACTCAGTATGATTCTTTTCATGATAAACAAAATTCCAAAAACAATAATAATAATAAAAAATTTACCAGTGCAAAAGAAAAAGAAATTGATAAACGTAAATCGATTGATGAAAATGAAATATATGTGTCTCATCAAGTAGTGCGATTTGCTGTCGATGATCGTTTTCCACCGATTAAAATTGAATGTTCACCTAAACTAAAAAATCAGGAAGAGGGTTCAGTTGTTGTTAAAAATTTGCTAAATCATATTGAACAAGGCTTTAAAAAATTAAATCCACGCTTCGATCAATCTTTTGGTTTTGATCATTATACGGTAGACAATAATGGATGTTTAATTTGTTTTACGAATTATATTGAATTATTCATATACATGTGTGACATTAATATTTATCCAGTTGATCTTAATAAAATAAAAATTAGACCTTTATTACCAACAAAATTACCTGCAAGAAATGCAATTATATTGAAATTTATCTATAATAAAATCAAATTTGAAGATATCCAAACAATCGTTCATGAGAAATTGAAAAGTGTTTATGCCATCGAAGAAATTATGGGAACAAAAACATATCGTTCACGGCATATTCGAGTTGATTTACGATCTAAAGATGAGTATAATAGTTTACTAAACAGTGGCAAATTTGTTCTAGGTGGGCATCTTTATGAAATAGATGAATATTTACCAGCACCTAGGATTCTGATATGCAACAAATGTAATGATCCTGGACATGTAAAGAAGAACTGTAAGTCAAGTATTGAACGATGCAGAAGATGTGGTAACAATAGAAATGATGGAATAAATCACAAGGAATGCTGCATTAAATGCCATCATTGTGGTGGTGAACACCAGGCAAACAATTTCAAATGCATCTTAATATCTAAATTCAGGCAAGAATTAATACTACAACTGAAAAACAACACACATCTCTTACCGCCTCATATGCAATTATATATTCCACAACAATTTCGGGATCTAAAGAGTAAAAAGACATTGATGAATAAGAACAGCGAACTGTATCAAGTACGAGCACGACATGAGGAGCTAATAAACATTGATCAAGGAAATTTGAACATTTGGCCAGCACTTAATTCAAGAACAACTTTACCATCAATAACAAATACATCGACAATATGGAATTCAGAACTAAAAAAGTTGCAAATTGAGTTTAACAACCTAAAAAATGAATATGAAATTGAAATTACTAAAATTAAATCGGAATGTGATAATCAGATTCAAACGATGATTCAAGGCTGGCAACTAATGAACTTCCAAATCAAAACTCAAACTGAATTAGTTACTGATGTTTGCTCAACTGTGGTGGAATCTATACCACCAATTATACAATCAATTCAAATGATTAACAAAATTCTAAAAGAAACAAATCGAAACATCCCAGACAACAATGAACGGCAACTTAATGATCGCATATCTACAACAATTTATAATATCGTAGACAAATTAAATATTCGTATGCACTTAGTACAGGACCATCAACACAAGCTCAAGGATCTGATGGACAAACAAAATGAACTGATGGCACGAGGTATGAACTCACTAAAACATGACATCAATGAACCTTAATTTTTACTATTCTTCTCCGACTGTAAATATGAACGTGTGTGATTCTTTTGAAGGAACGAAAACGGAGAAAGCGATACTGTTGAAAATCCTTGAAGAATGAAACATCAGATCTTCAGTTTCTAATATTATTAAGCAATGGTATAAAAGCCGACCCAACATATCTAGTGTTAATCTTATCCTTGTTCTCTATAATTGTCAATGTTTAAGTACTCATATTGCTGATCTTGATATTCTTATGTCGTCATACACACCTCAAATTTGTATCTTAACAGGGATAGGCTCTAGAATCAGGAATTTACCAAAAGTTACATCTTATTACTGAATAAGCCAAGAAGGTACTAATTCTTTTGGCGGAGTGGCTTTTCTTCTCCACGAATCTCTAAAAGTCAAAGTGATTGATAAACAATTAAACTACATCTTAATTGAACTTGATATTCAACCAAAACCAATATTATTAGGAGCTATTTATTTACCACCTGGCAAACCATTCCCACATGATCTATTTGATAGAATCATTAACAAACCATTCTACATATTTGGGGACTATAACGCAAAGCATACTGATTGGCATTGTAGTAAAACAAATGCCAGTCGTTCTCAATTAAAGGACTGGCTCGATAAAACAGGATGTGAAATGATCTATCCTATTCAATCTACATCAAAAAGGTCCACAGCAATTATTGATTTTGGTATTACACATAATGCTCAAGGTTGGAAAGCTGAAATTATAAAAGAAGGATCGTCCGATCATTACCCTGTATTAATTGAAGCTCCACTAACAACAGGAACAAATAATTATTTTCGAAAATCGAATTGGAAAATATTCTCTTTCTTTTTAAAATGTGTCTTTCCTTATTTCAACTCCGTAGTTTATAATCTTCAACCTGATGCTTTTTTTGAACTTTTTTCGGCTTTCCTTTCTTCAACTTGGGACAGAATTAATGAATACTTACCAATTGAAAAATATAGACCACCTTGGCCACCACACTTGGTACGTATGGCAAGAGAACAAAACATTGCGAGGAAAAGATATTGACGATCTAAAAAACCAGAAACGTTAGAAAATTATTTATTTTTAAAAAAAATGTATGTTCAAGAAAAATATTGGTTTCTGAAAGAGAAAATGGAAAACAAAATCTCTTTTATTTCGCATGAAAATAATATATGGAAATACGTTCATTCCACATTTCATCCGTATACTCCAGCATTCAAAGGTCTTCAATTCCAACTGGTGTCATAACGGATCATCGAGTAATTGCTGACACGCTCGCAAATTTTTACGAAAAACATTTCGAAAATCCATCCTACGATCATAGTAATCCATATCATCTTGATGTTATAAAAAAGTACGAAAGCGTCTCTCAACTACCCAATTTACCATTTGAGAATATATCATTACAAGAAGTTGAAAAAAACTTCAAAAATGCTCAAAAGAAGAAATCAATTGATAATGAAGGACTCTCAGCTTTTTTATTGCATAATCTACCAACAGAATACATACAAATTTTCACTATAGCGTTTAAGAAACTGGCTCAAACAGGTGGTGTTTTACAATCAAGTAAACATGCTAAAGTAGTTTGCCTTTCGAAGGACGGATTGTACCCTGAAGTAAACAAACTCAGACCAATTTCACTCTTGTCTAATATTGGAAAAATTTTCGAAAGAATAATACATACACGTATCCTCAAATGGTGTGATGAAAAAGGAATTTACATTGATGAACAATCTGGCTTCCCATCCGGAAGACGACTGCAAACACGTATCCTATCATTAGTAGAAGACCTAAGACTAACTACTGGAGCTAACAACAGACCAGCGCTTGTCATATTTGTTGATTTCATGTCTGCGTTTGATAAGATGTGGCATCCCGCCTTAATATCAACACTTCTAAAACTTGATTTTCCCTTACCCCTGCTTCACTGTGTTGTTCTATGGCTGAAAGGAAGGACAATGTCTATACATGTCGGAGAAGCTATCTCACGTTCAATTAACATCTATATTGGTGCTCCTCAAGGATCGGTCTTAGCTGCTACACTTTTTCGCCTACATGTTCATTTTCTCCCCAATGTTTTCATGAATCTAACGTGCCATCTTTTTGCTGACGACCTTGCAATTGTGATACCCGGATCACTTGAAAAGAAATTTTCAACAAATATTGATTTACTCGAAAAGCAAGCGGAAATTGCAATGTCTATTTTAGAAGGCTTTGCTAACAATAATTTACTACCTGTAAATATCAATAAAACAAAAGCTTTGCTCGTTCACGACATCGTAGCACCACCATATACTAAAATAAAATATAAAGGTGTTAAAATTGATTTTGTTAAACGATTCAAATACTTAGGTGTTGATATAACAACAAAACTCGGTTGGGGAATTTATATTCAAAATCGGTTAAAGATCGTTCGTAAAATCTATCATGCTCTACGTATCACCTTCAGGGAAATACCTATCCATTTAATTAAACTGAGAAGAAAATTATTTTTTGCTTATGCTCTTCCACATATAATATGGCTTTTTTCGTGTTGGTTTTTTTTTACAGAAATACAACAAAGAATGATCGAACATATTTATTGCTCTGGGCTACGTTTGACTTATAATCTCAATATGTGGGATGACTTATCTGTTTATACACTATCGAAAGAGTATATTTTGAACGACTATCTTTATAAATATTGGATTAAATTCAGTAAACATCTTGAAAATTCTAATGAAGCACATCAGTGCCATCTTACTTTCAACGCGTATCTTATTGCCAAATCTCCCCTATAGAAATGGTACCTCAGTATGGGCATGAGGAGAAATAACAAATTCCTAAATCGCTTGTCTCAAAGAGCACAACACTCAAAAAACGACCTGTTCGAGTTTTTAAATAATCATTCTCAGCAATATGGGTACTATAAACAGCAGTCCCTTCCGACCTATTTTTTTATATATAAATACCTACTAATGAATGAGAGTTCTAATGTAAATGATTCAAGATCACATGAAGAAACTCGATGAGTCCTTTTGTGCATTGTATTTAAACTATTCATTCCATCTCTCTATCTCTTGTATTAGTCATTAATATGCATATTGACTCCATTAAAATGTACTCTTTTTTCCCATTCGTTCTTTATCCTCTTCACTCTAAAATGCATTCATTATCGAATAAGAGAGGTCGTTAGATAGCACCTATCAAATCTCATGATTCTACTTTTTCTCCTACATGTTGTTGTACTCCTATTTTCATCGTTCATTTTTATTTCTTTTTTCTGTATCTCATTTTTTTTTCCTTCTTCTTCATTCTTATTTTTTGTTCTTCGATTCTATAGTATATTGTTTGTTTATTCCAATTGTCAACCTCACTATATAGGGACAATAAAAATAAATGTTAAAAAAAAAAAAAAAAATAACGTAAATCTCTTTGCTTGTTCATTTTCTATCATTCAGCTATTTCTTTTTCCTTTCCTTCACTCTCATACATAATATGAAGTGGAGTAAACTTATTGCCTATTCGTTGTACACTATTCAGTTATTTCTTTTTCTTACCCAAGCGAACGAGTGACGGGCCAAATGTCGAGTATTTTTTGTAGTCATGACGGGCCGACCCGACTAGTCTTTGTCTCAAAAAGTCCTCGTCCGAGACTAGTCCGATTTCTGCTGTATCGTGACTCGCGTCCAAAAATCATAATCGACGGGCGTCAATACCCCCTAGGCTGTCTAGTCGTTTTCAAGAAAAAGACGCGTGAAAGACTAGTTCATGGACGGTGAGGCATCAAATTATGATCGAAAATGTAGACTAGTCCTGGTCGAGGACTTTTTGAGGCAAAGGCTAGACAGGTCGTGGCGAAATGACGGACGTCTGAAAATGATTTAATGATGAAAAAGGAAGCCCGTCAGGGACGGTTCACATGACACACTGTAATGAGACGAACTCAGACTAGTCCGGACGGGTGCATATCTAAATATAGCATAATGTGAAAGGTTAGATTCGAACATTGAAACAGTTTGTTACTTATGCATTCCTTAGCCGATTGAACCATATATATTCGAAACATAAACTGTTACTACTTAATGAAGATTTTTACATATTTAATTGAAATTGGCTTGAATATTTTTGAAAATTTTTATAAGGATAAAAAACTATTTTATTGAATAAAATTTAGTCCATAAGCTAAAATAAGGTTGGTTTTAATTCTGAATCTTTTTCGTAAATTGTTATTGCTCTGAAGATTTAGGAAAAAACTAATGCATAAAAAATAATTAAATTCAAAATTAATAAATATTTTTTTAAATTCAAGAGGAATTCATTTTTTCAATGTCATGATTTTATTTCACTTAAAAACTAATAAACCATTTTTAAATTCAAGTACGTTATATTTGCTAAATCTGAATGATTTTCTGAGCCTCCTTTATCGAAACGTATAATTAAAATAAGGTTAAATTGTAACAAAAAAACTATGTTATTTTTTTAATGAAAATTATTCTGAATTTTATTTATACGTCTAATTAAATTTTAAATTTCAAGTCGCAATTTTTCCTAAAAGATGAACAGCATATTTTGCCTTTTATTCGACGGATCATGCCTAGGTATACTTCTTCACTTTAAAATACTCAACAAAATAAAGTCTTTGATGCTCAAAGAAGTACAAACTATTTATAAAAAAAATATCAATACTGGTTTCGCAATATTTGTAAATGGATCATATTAATTTAGGTATTTATATTATCCATGAATCTTTAGTGGAGCATACTGGAGAAATGAGTTCTATCTAATTTTTGACTCAATGCAAAATTGATCTGTTTGTTCAACAATTAGTATCCATCAATAACAAAAAAACAGAAAATTTATTGCATGAATTTTTTCTAAAAGCAGTTGATCATTTCGATTAAATTATTGTAACATTTTTATTTTATAAATATCGATTATGCAGCAAATCATACTACTAGTAATTTGAATTAGTATTGTCGATACATTGCAAAATAATGGACTACTCATGACATGCAGAAAGGACACTTCAGACTAGTCTTGACTATCACTGAAGACGTTTCTAACCTGTCGATTCGTTTTTCTGTGATAAATTTTTAATAGTCTAGCAGACAGACTAACGTCTCATTGTTATTCAGACTGTAGAGATTGACGTCAGCCTGTCGCTCAGTCACGGTCTCACGTCAGAACATCCGTCAGATACGAAATATAGTCGGGTCAGATGTTCGAATCCACTTTCTTCTTTTTTTTCCCTGAGTTTATATTTTTCAGACTAGTCTGGACGGGGTGAATGGACGAAACAGGCAAGACATGACGGGGTTGAAGGATGCTCTTGACTAGTCCTGACGTCGTTGAAGGACATTTTTTGTCAAGACAACTAGTCAAGACGTATATGAGAGACGCTTTGGACTAGACCTGACTGGCATTGAGGGCATTTCTGACTAGTCATGTCGCACGTCACCACTTATTTTTGTTTGCTTGGGTTCCTTCATTTTCATATATAATATGAAGTGGAGTCAACTTATTTACTGGTTCGTTTTCTAATATTCACCTATGTCTTTCTTCCTATACTATACTTTCATATACAATATGAAAGAACGTTAATACAATCAAGACCTATCTACAAGATATCGTTAACAGCATCTAATACTACATCACAAACACGTCATTCACACCACAATCAACTTACCAAAATTAATCTTAGAGACAAAAGACTGATGTCATGTGTCTCCTTCATTCCTTCCAGCTTTTACGACAATACTGTTCGTTGTTTTTCGTATTTTTCTGTTTTGTTATGCTTGTATTGTCTATTTCCATCATCAATAAAGCCTTGTCTCCAAAAACCTTTGGAATATCAGTACGAGCCACTCCTAACTTGATTCCAACACGAAAAATCGAAATATTTTGCCGACCGCAAAAGGACATCATTACCTCTCCTTATTTTTAGAATAGAAGTGGTGTTTCACAGATTCGTCAGACTTACTACCTAAGTGACCTCATTAAGGTATTAACTCTTATATAGATGTATGCACGGAAGTCTC